TTTTTTTTTAATCCCTTTTTTTATTTAAAAAAAAAAATTAAAAAAAAAAATTTCTTTTTTATTTCTTACAGGGGGGGGGGGGGGGGGGGGGGGTGGGGCATGAGAGTGAGTCATCAGACCACGTTCAATATCCAGGCACTATGCTTCGGAGACTATTGATTGTTTTTTCCCTAGAGACATAGTGAAATGGTAACGTAAAGACGTAGCGATTGTCTACGCCTCTAAGTGTTTACACTTTTGCTTCTCTAGTAGGAAGTGAAGCGAAAAATCTGCCGAATTTTCTAGTCTGTTTGAAATTTTTCGCTCAAAATTCGAAAGGCTTTTGACACTGTCGAACTTCGAAAGAAAATCCCGACAGTGTCGAAAACTGACTGTCGAAAAATAGAACTGTCGAACGGCGACAAATTCAATGCACTTAAAATGGTTTCGTCCCGTACCTTTGCTTCTACGAAACCGAAAAGGGTTTATCAATGAATCAAACCGTATTTTTGATGGAAAACGTTTTTTGGTCAAACTTATTCTATTCGGTTATGAAGACAAAATAATCTTTGCACGTTTTTTGCTGGTTTAATTAAATTATGTTTTTCGTTTTGTAGACGGTGAATTGCCTAATTTATCTGTTCCACGTTTAAATATTCGTGGATTTAACTGGATGGGTCAAGGATATGTTTATCGTTCGGCATCAAATGGCTGTAACATTAACTGTTTTAGCCGTGTAATTGATGGAAATGTTTCGGTGTTACCACAAGGTACAGGAATAGCTGCAACATGGAATAAATATTTAATCTTTCAAGCAGCTGTTATGGTTAGTGATGAATCAATGGCAATACAATACCATTATCCAAACAAAAGTGTTGATTATAAAGCTGGTGCATCTAGTGTTATTAATATTGCTAGAGATGGCAGATGGGGAAGAGTGCCAGAAACATATGGTATACACAAAAAAATATATAAATATGTACACTAAATTGATTTCTCTGTTCTATTCAAAAATAGGTGAATGTCCAGTGTTAACTGGTGAGATAGCCGTAGCATTTAATAAAGGTCTAATGGGTTATGCAACATTAGAAGATACACAATTAGAATATGGCATTTATAAAGTTATGCCTGTCATGAGGTAAATATCATAAAGCACACCGATAGAAAATTATTTTCTTCTGATACCTACTTATCTCGTCGAATTTCTCATACTCAGCGAGCGTCTTTTCAAATCGACTGAAAACTATTTAGTGCCTAGACGAAACCCTCGCATAATATATCTTCTGGATCTTAAGGGTTTTCGACCTTGCCCTATCTAATGATGCCATTGGATTTGGTTGATTCTGACTTGACAGTGGACTTCTTGAAAACCGAGTTTTTGAGTACGGGGCTTTCGGAAATATTGAAATTAAAATATTCATCATTATCATTCAAAGAAGCTTATTCGACAGAGTCCATTTTTAGCTGTTTAAAGCTCGCTTTTCAAGAAGTCTACTGTCAAGTCAGAATCAATCAAATCCGATGGCACCATCAGACTGGACAAGATCGAAAACCCGTAAGGCTCAGAGGATATGTCACTTTGTCCATTACTTGCGTAGATAGTATAATCAGCATCAAAGATTATCCACAATCGTGTATGTCTTAAGAAAAAGGCGATTGAACACTTGGGAAGGTTTCCTCGTACGATAACTGAGCTCGAAATTGAGAATAGAAAGATTTAGGTGACGTTCATTAAAAAAACTCGCATTAAAGCGTTTTTTTAATGAAAGTCCCGGGACTTTCATTAAAATGTCTGCTGCAAAATGGTTGTGACCTGCAGTTTTCGATGGCACAAGAATTTCATTAAAATTTGAATGAAAAGTTTTTTAATGAAACTCCAATATCCTAGCAGAACACGGGTTTTCGTCAACTTTCAGAATATAATTGGTCTTTTACCAGAAAAATCGATTCATATAGGTATTATTTCATGCTGATGACGATCATAATATTCTTTTTGTTTCAACATAAAATTATGTCATGCTCAAGCTTAGCAATCTTTGAACTTGTTATTGCTACGAATTCAGCTTGCTACTTGTACTTATACATCCATACTGCTGGAGAGACTTTTTAATTCCAGCCTCTTCGGTAGTTGTAATAGTTCTTTTTGTAATAGTTTAATTCCAGCCTCTCCCATCTCCTATACAGTTTGAACAAGATTCATTTGACTTTAAGCTCGTACGAATTTAAAGCCTTTCCAGCTCCCCGTGCGTATATTCCATTTTCAGCTCTTAACGTCACAGTTTCACTACCAATTTCTACCATCCTCTCACAGATGGCATTGTTCTTTCTAATACAAAACATATTCGTACGGATGAGTATTTATGATAAAGGTTTGAATGTCACATCATTTAAAGTGGCCAAACGGCAGTCAAACCCATTTTACTAAAAGTGTTTTAGGTGACCCTGTCCGAGGAGTCTTAGAGAAAGTCCTAGAGAAAATGTTTCAAACTGATTTTAGAATCTGCTCGTTGTGATCGACAACTTCTGAAAGTTTGATTTTGTTTGGATAAACTTGATATAATGATGCTACATTTAAACCTAGTCCGGTCCAAATGGAGCCTCTATTTTCAGAATTTCATAGCCTAGTAATAGCAGAAATATTTCCAATGGACTGAGCTATCGAGTGAACTCCATTTTTATCGTCCACTAGCATCTCTGTTGTCTGAAGCTACAGGGTGCGAAAAAAAACTAAGAAAGGTGTACGCTCGATACCATGGCCATAGATCTGATAGAAATGACATTTTACATTACTATTTAGAAGCAGTTTATTCAAAATAAATGTTATATCGAAAATACATTGAATAATATGTCACTCGATGTGTACTTGATAAGAAATTCGGAAAGAGATTCTCGATAAAATTTCAAACTGATGCTATTCGATTTTTCGTACAAAAGTCTGTTGGTGTCAAACTCAGATTTGGAAAACTTGATTTTTTTCAATCTGATTGAGTAACTTTTAAAGCTTTGTTCTAGGCTTAAAAGATATAGAATGTTGTCTAGTTTTTAACGGTATGCTTGACTTTGAATAAATCATTATGCTTTCGTTAAAATTTTCAGAATAGTAAATTCTATCAAAATCTACCTTATTCTTCTTCGGACAGAATTTTTCTCACTATGAACCAATAGCTTGCTCAATCGAGTGTACCCACAAAAGAGTGCAAAGAATTCTCTAAGTTTTAAACTATAGAAAATAGTTATGTAGCAAGATAAGAGCTGGACAAATCATGGGTTTTCTACGTCAGAAGTCAAATCAAGTCATCAAAAATTTCAAATCAAGTCGAGTCAAGTCATGAGTAATAAACAGATTTCTGTAGTCAAGTCAAGTTTCGGATTTTTCCAAGTCACATCAAGTCAGTCACAAGTCATGTGTTGAAGTTTTTTTCCGTAGAAAAATGCCTAAAGCAAAGCTGGGCAAGTTATATGTTTTTTTATGAGCTTCAGCTTTTTGTTTAGGGACTATATTTCTTAATTATGAATTACGAATTCAGTGTACCCTGAGATGATGCAACACCTTTGAATCATTAGTGCACGTCTTATGGGGTGATACTGCTGATGCAACTGCCAATATAAACGACATAAAGGAATCGCCATTCCTTGGTATTTTAGAACACAGGCTTGCTATGCTGTTGCAAAATACGCGTCTTGTTACTGCGCATAAATTCTTACATATTATAATATCAACATTCCCAAATCCTTATGAATTATTATTTAAAATTAGATTGCATAAGAGGTGTAAAAATATGTATGACGTCACTTGATTTCTTACGCCGAGTCACAAGTCAGATCAAGTTTAAAAAAATGTTCAAGTCAAGTCATGAGTGATAAAAAATTTCCTAGATTAAGTCAAGTCATTTTTGATTTGACTTGCCCAGCTCTGAGCCCGATCCCTACCTTATAAATCATATACAAAAAATATGCGTTTTTAGTTTTTCAAATTTTTTATCTTCTATCGAAAACTTAAATTAAACTTACGCTCTTTTGTAACAAAAACTAAACGTTATTATTTTAGCTGTTTTATGGATTTTGTAGAGTTCGGATAGTTGCATCTTTTGGTAGTCTACCTAAGTCATTATTTTTATGATTATACGTCACACATAACCGTATTTTTAAAAAAAGGTTACTTTTTACGTCCTAGTAATAGTTTTTGACGGAGTTTACTAGTCTGAAAGTTTAAAGAAAGCATTATGATTTATTCTAAGCCAAGCATACTATTGAAACCTTGACAAAATTCTACAGCTTTTAAGCCTAGACCAAAGTTTTAAAAGTTACTCAATAAGGTTGAAAAAAATCAAGTTTTTCAATCTAAGTTTGACATCAAAGGACTATAGTTTGTAAGAGGCAATTTCCGAGATAGAGCTGTGAGTCAGCAATCTTAGATTATGCTCATTTTTAAACATGCTGTAAGGTACGACCAGTTAAAGATACCCTTTCTTTTTTTCACGTGAGATTAGAAATGTGAGTGACGGTGAATCGAATTGGCTCCAAATATTTACCAGCATTAGAACGCTAAAAACGGAGACCGATGTACGTATATCCAGAATTCCCACATCATTTTTCGCTGAGATCATAGATCTTCGTATTAGCATTAATATATGTTTTATTTAGTAATTTGCTTTCTTTCGAACAGAACATAATATTGGTTACCGATGAAGGTTGAATCATTATAACCTAGACATAAAACTATAATTTTCAGATTCAGGCGTAAATTTCGAATGGACATGCGATCAGGATAGTTTTCAAGCGAAAATAAATTTCATTACAGTACCACTCGCATGTGAGTCGTAGATATTCTCTTACGTTTTTACCCTTTGATCACTGGTACTTTTTCTTCTCATTATTCCATATATGTTTTTTGTTTCAATTCTATTTTAAGGCATTTTATTGATTATGATGGCCCTGATGATGGTAGATTTAGTTTTAATGCAGATATCTCTGATGCTGATTTAAGGTAAGTGTAAATATAAAAAATAGACAATGAAAACATCGAGTTGATTGCACATCTTCAGTCATTGTACAGAATATAAACACAGAAGAGTGGATTTAGTTTTGTAGCTTACGGCAAAGCTAAGTTCATGTGTTCAAATCTCTATTCGTACAAATTTGATTTGTGTTTTTTAACTGAGAATACTAAAATAGAATATATTCCGTCTGTATTCCGAAAGAATAAAATTTATATCATATAAAGAACATCTGAAAGTATTTTATTAACTTCTTTCACTATTTCGTTTATTAGAACTACATTTTTACCTGTATGGAAGAAACTTATAGATGAGAATGCGATAGTTGGTATAATGAGCTCAATAAGCGCAGTAAATGGTATTCCAGCACCAGCAAATAAATATTTACTGACTGATGTATTGCGTGGCGAATGGAATTTCACTGGATTTGTTATTAGTAAAATTTTCACTTCTTATCAAATAAGCTTTTGATTTCTATTTGTTTTCGGTTTAGGTGATTGTGATCCAATAGCCGCAATACAAACGTCATTTCATTATACAGCAACAATAGAACAAGCTGTTGCCTTGTCTATAATATCCGGTAATGATATTAATTGTGGTCCAGAATATAAATTATTGAATAGTGCGCATGCACATGGTTTTGTTGATTTTGACACAATTGATTTGGCTTTACGTCGAGGTTTACGTTCAAGATTTTTGAGTGGTAATTTTGATCCCATTGGAACTGATCCATATTCGTATATACCTTATTCTGTTGTTGATAGTCCAAACCATAAATTATTAACAAAACAAGTTGTTGTCGAATCAATTGTTTTATTACAGAATCCAAATGGAATATTACCTTTTGATTTATCAACAACACGACAAATTGCAGTTATTGGTCCATCAGCGGATGATTTATCTGTACAAGCACATACATATCATGGTACACCAAGTAAATGGATAACAACATTGAATGGTATACAATCAATAGCACTACAATATGGTATAAATGTTGTTAGTACGTGGGGTGCATCTAGAACAAATGACAGTCACGAAGACTTTTTACATGCAATAGAATTAGCGAATTCAAGTGATATCATATTATTTGTTGGTGGATTAGATGAACGATTTGAAGAAGAAGATACTGATCGTAGTTCATTACAATTACCGGGTGCACAATTAGATTTAATAATAGAACTAACAAAACTAAGTAAACCATTTGCTATATTGATCATATCTGGTTCACCAATATCAGAACCAACAGTAGTTAAAGCAAATAGTGCAGCACTCTTATGGGTGTCTTATTTTGGACAAAGTGGTGATGCTATAGCAGATATTTTATTTGGTTTATCTGTACCATCGGGTTGTTTACCATTTACTATACAAATGGATACAAGCCAAATGCCTCCAATAACTGATTATTCAATGATTAAATCACCAGGTAGAACGTATCGTTATTTAGTTTACGACAAAGCACCGCCATTATTTCCATTTGGATTCGGATTATCTTATTCTAAATTTACACATTCACAATTAACTCTTTTTCCTAGTAAAATTAATAGGCTTGATACGATTATTATAGCAGAAGTTAACATATTAAATGAAGGTCCATTTGATGCGCAATTTGTAATACAATTATATTATGAATTTCCTAATTCAACAGTAGTCGAATTACCCCTACGTGAATTATTACAATTTACTAAAGAAACATTTCTGAAAAATCAAAGTAAAACTATTTCATTTATATTTACTGTCAAAAATATTGCAGGTTCGAACCGACAACAATTACCGGGCACGATTAATTTTTGGACTGGTAATAGTAGAGATAGACAAACAGAAGCAACACTTACGATTGATTTTGATTCATAATTTATTTAAGTGATAATGAGAATTTGCTGTTGAAGTCAACCTTATCGATTGCCTCTACATAAAATAGAAAATAGATAAATGGGTGAAACATTTAAAAATCAAAATATTATTGAAATAATCTTGTGTAAGAAAACTAGGTCGAAAACGTCTAAACCGACTTTGATGAAATCTACGCTGGATAAAATCGTAAAGGGCCTCGTCGATTATAGACCCGAAATCTGCTACCGCTACAAGCGTTCACTTCTATCGTATAGTTGGAAAACCCTGACTCTAAATTTGCCAATTTGCAGTTAGATTTCCTCCAAGACACCTGGGCTCAGGATAAATTAAGCTTTTGTGATTAAATTATGATGCTCAAATGGTTAGTAATAGTAAAATGATTATAACTCCAGAAATAAAGGATATTTCCACAATCAGCTCTCAACATTAAATTCAGTACACTTTTTTTCTACCAGGCAACAATAATCAGTGTTTTTGTTACAGTATCAGTGTGTTTTTGACTATTGCTGAAAATAAATGTAACAAAGGATCCCAAAAGCATATATCGAAAGAAGTGTCATGGGAGCAATTTCGATATAACACACGAACGAGACTTCTCGAAAGTCCCGTACTTTCCCCAAAATATTATCTGGTTATGAGTAACAATTTAAGTATATTTTTAGCAGAAAATATTTGTCTAAATACAAAGTATACATCTATCTATTCTTAACACAGAGTTTTTGCTGCGATCTTGAAGACAATAAAGCCTTTTTTCATATTTGTTTTTATCTATAACCTGAAACTAATACCATATTTGTATAATCACCAATCATAGACCATTCGAATGTTGTTAAATAAATTTTAACGACTTTTTTCGTATTTTGTTTATTTGTATCATTTAAAATGGCATTAATATGATTTTTTAATGTAATTAGACGATCAATCATCGAAAACGATCTGTTCCATCATATCGGACAATCAATAATTAATGAAAGACATCTTAATGTTTTACCAATTGTTTTTGTCAAATATCCGGTTTGTTTTGTGGATCTTCGAAAATGATTCACAAGTTTGCGACATTTAAGTAAAACATTAGTAATAGATGTGATAAATTCTCTGACATCATCTATTGTTATGTCTATTTCTTCACTACTGTGATCATTGTTGTTATCTTCATTATGATCGGATTCCGAACTAAAATCTGTCAATGATGAATTCATTATTTCATCACTAGATTCATAACCACTTTTATTTTGATTATCACCTTCCATCGTTTGTTCTAAATCAGTATTATCGTCAGAATATTCAGTAGAATATTGTAAATCATCTGTTCCATAGTTACTTGCTATTCTAAAACGATGCAGTAAAGTTTTTCAATAATTATTAGAAGAAAGTACCACGGGTCTATTAAAATTTATTCATTTTGTACTTTTTTGTTCATGACAAGCATCCATTTGAAGAAAATAAGCTTACTTGTTTAATAGAAATGCTTCAATAACAGCATCAAATAATTCTTATTTTTGGCTTGTTTTGGCCATAATCGTAATGCATTACATATCGTTGGATGTAAACTATGAGCTACACAATAAATTGGTATAATACCATTTGTTGTCTAGAATAAATTTGTATATATATATTTTAACGGACGAAGATGTTTCGTGCCCGAATTAAGACAGATTCGTGCTCGTTTAAGTTTTCTTGTGCCCGTTTAAGATTTTTGTGCTCGATCCGGGTACAGAAAAATCCTTTTACACTTTTGTGCCCGGAATTGATTGATTTGGGCCCGGTTTGTGAGCAAAACAACTTAATAGTAGAACTAGAGATAAACATAAGTTATGCTGACAGATATCTCTTGTGACATACGTCTATATGTTTATGTACGAGATGCATAAAGTACTATACAGTATTCACAGACGGGGAATGTTGATCAAGGATCTTTTTCGTAAATTCGATTGATACATCATGCACAAATAGAAAGTAGAAGACCCAGCAAAATTACAACATTTTCAGAAACGACGCGGAAGACCAAGAAAAGTAGGAAATGTGTTGTCTGGTGTTTAGTTGTTCTACTTACATACTCTCTCTGCTCTTTCCATTTCTACAACTATTTCAGTAAATAAATGAAGATAATAAACTGAGATCTCTCTCATTATTATTCCCAATCTAACTAAAACCGGGCACAAATCAATCATATCCGGGAATAAAAGTGTAAAAAGATATTTCTATACCCTAACCAGACACAAACAGTCTTAAACGGGCACAAATCTGTCTTAATTCCGGGCACAAAAAGCTTAAAGCCTGTTTTACTCATCTCAGATTTTTATAATTAATTAAACACGCAGAAAAATAATTTTTCAAAATGCTATAATGAACAAGATGCTAAAAAGCAGATACCCCATTGTGATCCAAAAATCATCAAGCGATCCGTTCCATCCAGTAAGAAAAAAACCAATATTTTAGAAAATATAAGAGTATAAGAATAAAGTTACTTACATGTTTCATCAATCAAGAGAAAATCATTACTATTTTTATCTAATTTCTATGGCCCGTTTAAACTAATTTCGACTATGCACATGTATGAGTTGTTCCATTTTTGATTATTGATAAATCCTGTGAGCATAATGATATTTTACTTAAACAACTATGATCACCACATGTCAATTGATCACTTTTTTTATTTTCTCGTTTTTTCGGATATTGATAACAACTGTATTTTAATACTGGACTACCTTTTTCAGTCACTGTGAAACGTAACATGTTGGTATGATATAGTAATTTCAATCATTTAATCTCCTAACATATATATAGGGTACTGAGTATCTTTTTCAAATCTTAGTGCATCTTTTTGAGTGAGCATCTTTCTCTGTGTTGTAGTATATTCAGTGGACTAGGTACCAGGCATAGGAAGACACCGTGTGTTTTGAATTTTTATCATAATAAATTAATTAGGCTTTGATGTAAAGAATGAGCTGATAAAATTTTGAAAATTATACGTTAAAAATCTGGGACGAACTGACAGTAAAATATATATACAAATTAGTTGGGACGAATTGAGAGAGACTGATTTGGGACTAACTGAGAAAACACCATCATAATGATTATGATGATGTTGTCTCAGTTAGTCACCCCAAAAAAACGAAGTATATATATGCCGATGTATGTATCAACAATACAATCAAAGAAACCGAAATTATACAAAATAAAATAAAATAAATTAAAATTTAAGTTTTGACATGCATCCTAATCATTATAAAGAATTGAATAAGGACAAAATTTAATAAAAGTATTACTAGAAGAATATTAAAACATTCAAAGATAGTATAAATAAAAAATGTTGTCGATTGCGTACTAGATTATTAAATTGAAATTCTTCTGTTTTACTCTAATTTTTAGATCTTTAAGTTCGTTCTGTCTAAATCTTTAGTTTTATAAAGAAAAAACACTTGATACTATAGTTTCTTGCTTATATTAAGAAAAATATTGTATCCTAAAAAGATACAATAAAAATATATTTTGAAACGTTCCCTTAAGAAGCACATCAAAATGCAATCGGATCAGTTGGTCGTCGTTTCTCTATTTCATAATCCTGCTATGGCTAGGGGCCAAAAGAGATAATAAATTTGTAATCCCAAACGAGATAATAAATTTAATTAGTACGCAAGAACGAAAAAAACGTTAAATTGTTGTGTTTTCAAAAGAGATAATATAGAATGGGGTATATATTTTATTCTCATCACAAAATCAATCAGAATCAGTATCATTGTTGTTGTTTTTTCATGTTCATGTAAAGAACAGTAAGCTTTTCTTCGTATTGAACGTTCATAACTTTCAATATCTTTTGTTATTTCATACCGTTATTTAGCTTTAATAAGCTGTTCTTCATGAATTATACTAGATTTTGCTTTTTTTTGCACACTGTTTAATTCGATTTTGTACACTGTACTTAATGATTCTGCTTGATTTCATGAGAATAAAATGTATACCTATAAGTTTCGTTTGTTTTTTCATTCTATATTACCTCTTTTGAAAACACAATAATTTAACTTTTTTTTTCGTTCTTGAGTACTAATTAAATTTATTATCTCTTTCGAGATTACAAAAATTTTACATTTTCGTTCTATTATCTCTTTTAGGAATACAACTTATTATCTCTTTTGGGTTTACTCAGTTTATTATCTCTTTTGGGGCCAAGTGCTTGCTCTTCCTTAATTCCACTATGTATAGAGTATTCCTTGTTCCTCTATTTCCCTATTCCGCTACTATCCCGATCAGTCGTTATTTCTTTATTACATTAGCGAGATTGCTTAATGTTTATTGCAGAAAATTGTATTTAACGATTTTTTATATTCTTTTACACTTTAACTCATGTACATCAAAGATGACGCTTGTATGTTTCTGTCTTTTGAACTTGTTTCGTTTCGTTTGATTTTCTTTTTGCACACATATTCTTTGCGTAAAGAATATCTTTTCTTTCAAAATAATAAATGCGAAAAGACAAGTTTTATATTTTATCGAATGTTTAAACACAAAGAAGATTATACTCGTTGTAATTTTCTCCATTTTCTGTCAACTAAATGAACTAAAACTAGATAAATATCTATCCGTACAAACGCAAGACAACGGATCAAAGTAAATCAGCCGGTAGACATCTACAGACATGTCGTAGTGTTACATCTAAGGGGAAACATCTTAAAAATATATTTACACACCAGGAAAGTTAACGAAAAAATAAATTAATCCAGATAACGTAGAGCACTATCTTCTTCATTTATATAATTATGAAACATTCGATAAAATATAAAACTTTGTCTTTTCGCATTTATTGTTTCGAAAGAAAAGATATTCTTTGCGCATAGAATATTAGTGTGTAGAAAGAAAATCGAACAAAACAAAACTAGATCAAAAGAAAGAAACATACAAGAGTATATACCATTAACACCATTTCGGATATGTCATCCGATTTTTTTGGGTATGCATTCTGACAAGAAAGCATTAAATAAATTAAATAAAAAGAAGTAAAAGTCAATAAAGGAACAATCAGTTTGCAAGACGAAT